TTACCTTTTGCCATTGACACTGTTTACTGGTGTCTATAGTAAGAAATAGTCTAGAAAAATTAAGTGAGAAGTTTCTAAAATTGTTATAGTTTGGTATGTTTGGTAAAAGAGTAAAATGAATTTTAAAAGAATTCAGCCTTATATCTCTTTTCCAAGTCATTTCTGGTCTTTGTGGAGAAGTAGTTTCTTGTAGTGTCGAGGGCATTGACTCCACAAGTTAGAAGACCTAAATTTCTTGAATTCTCAACTTTATTATGTAGCTTTGATTAAACAATTTTGCTATGCCCTTCAGTTACTCTCTGTACAATGCGGATTGCTTTAAACATGATAAAAATATTTAGCAGGTGTTTTGTATTACATGTTTACTTGTAACCAGAGGATGTCCTATAATAATTAGTGATTAATTGATTGATTCATTTTATTATTTTATTATTTTTAGAGCCTCACTCTGTTGCCCAGGCTGTAGTGCAATGTCGCGATCATAGCTTGCTGTAATCTTGACCTCCTAGGCTCAGTAATCCTCCCACCTCATCTTCCTGAATAGCTAGGACTATAGGTGTGTGCCATCATGCCAGGCTAATTTTTATTTTGTAGAGATGAGGTCTTGCTATGTTTCCTAGGCTGGTCTCAAATTTCTGGCCACAAGTGATCCTCCTGCCTCAGCCTGCTGAGTAGCTGGAATTACAGGCATGAGCCACTGGGCCCAGCCTGATTCATTCACTTAATGAATCAGATAGTCATTTAATATCTACTATGCCTGGAACTGTGCTAGGTGATGCAAAGATGAATAAAACACACTTCTTCTTCTTCCCTTTTTTTTTTTTTTTTTTTTTTTTTGAGGGAACTCACATTCAAGTGTGGAAAAAACTAAGCAAACCAAAAATTAAAATGCTCCATGGCAAATACTATAATAGAGTGTACATAGGCTGCTAATACATACTGGAAGCCTTGGGGAAAGATTACCAGAGGAACTGATGTCTGAGCTGAATCTTGAAGGATCAGTATGAATTAAGTAGTTGAAGGTGGTAGTGAAGAGTGAGAAAAACATCTTAAGCCAAAGGAACAGTTTGTGTAAATATGGCAGAAAAATACTCAGACATGACATCTTTCTGAGTGGGCTTCCACTAGTTTTTGTCATTTATTAATGGTGGTTTTGTAGTGGGCTTTTGGTTGCTGATATGTGGTCTGGAGATAGAATCCAGCCACATGGAGTTCTATTAAGAAGTCAGGTATGGTGGGCTCTGGGGTGAGGCATGAGTGGAAGGATATGATGGGGTATGAAAATGTAAAATGGGGATTTTAAAGCCTAATCTTAAGCCTTTAGGGCATGCCCTACCAGGAACAACAGAAATCATATATGAAACAGCTGCAGTACTTTGCTTTTTGCTTGTGGAGTTCTGGTCTCGGTCTCCAGGTCTCCTGCTTTATTTGGGGAGGTATATTGGACAAATGATACTAATTTTATAGACTTGTTATAGGAATTAAATATACACATCACAGTGCTTGGCACCTAGAATAGACACAAGAAGGGTGAGGTAGAAACCTGAGAGTCATCCTTAACAACTCTACTTCTCTATTCCTCATGCAATAGTTCCCTTATTTAAAGTCTTCGATATATCTTTTTAAAAACTTTTCCTTTTTTTTCTGTATATAAGATAGATATCTCTTAAGTCTTTCCATTTCTCTCTCTCTCTCTTTTTTTTTTTTACTCCTCTCTGTTGCCAGACTGTAGTGCAGTGGTGTGATCTTGGCTGACTGCAACCTCCGACTCCCTGGTTCAAATGGTTCTCCTGCCTCAGCCTCCAAGTAGCTGGGATTACAGGCACGTGCTACCACGCCCAGCTAATTTTTGTATTTTTAGTAGAGACGGGGTTTCACCATGTTAGCCAGGATGGTCTCGATCTCCTGACCTTGTGATCCGCCCGTCTCGGCCTCCCAAAGTGCTGGGATTACAGGCTTGAGCCACCACGCCCAGCCTGATTTATTTCTCTTTATCTTCCTATCTTAGTCCAAGTTCACATAACCTTTCCTCAGGACCATTGCAGTTCATCCTAACAAATATACCCCTATCCACTCTTATATTCCTTTACAGTGCAGCTGTAATGATCTTCGTTCAAATACAGGTCTGATCATGTTATTCTCCTCACATGAAATCTAATAATACCTCTTGGGATAAATAACTCTTTTAGTGTGGTTTACAGGGCCTTGCATGTTCTGGCTTTTACCCAGATCTTCATCTTTATCTGAGACCATATTCTCCCTTGCTCTCTGTGCCTTCTTAGTTTCAACTACATACCATGCCCCTTCTTGCCAAATGGCTGTTGCATGTGTTCATCTCTCTTCCTTGAAACCTTTCTCTCCCCTTAAAGTGTAAGTTAATTCCTACTTATACTTTAGATCCAAACTCAACTGTCTTTTCCTCAGGGATGTTTTCCCAGACCTCTCTGAGTAGGTCAGATTCTCATGTTATACACTCTCATAGCACGATTCACAATTGAAATTTGTATTTTTGTTGGATTGACATTGGTGTTTCAAATAAGACTGAGCATCAGGTGAGCAGATATCATGTCTGCTTTAGCTTAATACTGTATCTTCAATACCTAGCATGGTGCTTATGGCACATATTAACCGCTCAACAAATATTTGTTGAATGAGTGGATAATTCTGATTCCTCATGCCACATCTTCCAATCAGAAAGAACAAAATATTCTTCATTTTATCATATAAACAAGCTGGCTGCAGTTTGAGGCAAAATTCCTCATAAGGAAAGTCCTTATCTTTTGACCAGGAAAATCATCTTAATAGATATATTAGATTATGAGAGTTAAAACATACCGGGAAACATCTAGATTGAGCAAAAAGATAAGGTAAAGTACTGTACATAAGAAAGCAACAGGAATTTGATTTGAAATATAGTGGTGGCTCAGTAGTGGAGGAAGAAGATGGATAGAACCTAAGAGTGAGTGAGGGTAGAGTAACCACAGAACTTTAGGACCATAGTATGTAGTTGCTTGCTGTGCTTCTTAAGAACTCCCTTACTCCCATCAATTGCAAATTACCAGTAAAAGTTGGTTATATACAATAAACTTGTATTAATATTGTTGGTGGGGAGATTTCAAGGATAAAGACCTATGGGTTCTATGTTGGATCTTCTTGGGGCAGAAAGAGGATTGCACCTGTAGAAGGCAATAATGTGAGTGAGATCAAGAGTCCATGGGAATAGAGAAACAAACCTAAAATAAACAAAAAGAGTACAAATGACTCAGGAATCCTCAAATTTTGGTCAAGGTATTGATTTATGTTAGTGTATGCTCTGGGGTCTGAGCTATTTTAATGTTAAAGGAAAAGTTAACCCCAGGATGCCAACAATTTTGGGTTACCCAGGTAGGAGATGTTAATTTTTCTGTAGCAGAATTTTGCAGTAAGAAATAATATAACACAGTTATCCTGCTAAAAGAAGACAGCACTGCAGGTGCTGTTCTAGCATCTTATTTTTGTATTTGGTATATTGTTGAAGATGATAGGTAGATAATATGTTCATCTTTATAGGTGTTCACAATGAGGGAGAAGGAATTATGCCTCTGAAATTTTCAGGAAAGTCCAAGGAGGATTTGCTTTATTTAGATATGGCAAGAAGTGCCATATGGAAAATCAGCTGATGGCAGTTCTTAGAGGGTCAGGTATTTTGGTTTCTGAAATAGTGTATTGGTATAGCAGTTTTTTTTTCTCTCATGGACGTTAGAGATCTGAAAAATTGAACTGGTTGGAAAGTTGTGACTAGTGCAGTTTTTACTAGAGGAGGCTTTTGATATTGTGGAGCTACCTGAAGATTACAGAAATGTAGTGTTAATGGTCACTTAGTACCTTCAGAGTAATGTTGCCTTGCATATATGACCTTAATAATTAGGATCATTTTTTTTTCTCTCACAGTAGGTAGTTGTGTTTTCCAGGATGAATTTCTTCCAGAATTATATACCTTAGAGTAGGAGGCTGTTTTGAGCTTCCCTTAGGAAATAAATGATACCTATGACCGTATTGATTGCCTTAGTTTCAACCAGGAATCATTCTTTAAGGTTTTGCTAAGTCAGATAGGGACCAAGATCGTCATTTCAGATTCTGGAATGTGTCTTCGGCCACTAGGGACTATTTAAGTAGGTAATATTTGTTTGGGAGTTTCATGATAGGTGTTTATTATTGCATAGATGCAAGGAATAAATTTGAGCAAGAGCTAATGAATCTGTGAACATGGTTGACTACCACACTCTTATTAGTTGAGGCTGGACTTCTGTTCAGAGAAAGGAGTTTTCTAAATGAAGAGCAGGTAAAAGCAAGATGGCCTTTTCCACTGGATTAATACATGTATGGTCTAACAGAATACTTTTTAATGATCAGATTCAAGAGCTTGTGGGTTGAAGAAGCTTTGAGTTGTCTTAGGACTTAAGCTATGATCTAAGAACATGGGACATGCAATCAATCTACCTAAGTGCCAGTTACTGGGGGAGATTATGGGAAGTGTTAGAACTATAATCAAAACTAGGATGAGGATAAATACCAAGGAAATAAGAAACCAGAATGTAGGAAGCAGTCTCTAATCAGAAGGCAATTTAGCACCAATTTTGTCTAGCATTTCTTTGATTGGTTCAAACACATAGTACTTGCTTTGCAGTGATTTAAAGGCCTGCACCTGAAATACATAGTTTACCAATTTTCAGAGAATCAGAGTGAATCAGGTGGACCCAACACCAAAATGATACTATTCTTTGATTTAAATATTTGCTTCTCGTCGCGGCAAGAGGGGCAGGGTGGCTGGGCCACTCCCCTTGGCCCTGGTCCCGGCCTGCCCCACCCAGCTGCCATGGCCCAGGATGAGGGTATATATTCAGAGGGGACACAGGATGCCAGCGCAGAAGGAGCCGGGTGGAGCTGTGGTCGCACTGAGGAAGCTTTGTAGGTACATGCATTGCATCCCTATTTTCACAAAGCTTGGCTATCAGAGCATTATGAACACTAATGACCTCAAACTCAGGTTGTCCAAAGCTGAGCAAGAACACCCACTACGTGTCTGGAGTGAGCTTGAAGAAGCCCAACAGGTAGAACTTTATGCAGAGCTCTAGGCCTTCAACTTTGAGGAACTGAACTTCTTCTTCTAAAAGGCCATTGAAGGATTTAACCAGTCCTCTCATCAAGAAAAGGTGGATGCGTGAATGGAACTTGTCCCTCGAGAGGTACTGGGCAGTGCTACAGGGAAGCTAGATCAGCTCCAGGCCTGGGAAAGCAAAGAACTTTTCCAGATTTCTCAGAACAAAGTAACAGTTTTTCTAGTTGGTGGACAAGGGACTAGACTCATTGCATATCCAAAGGGGATGTATGATGTTGGTTTGCCATCCCATAAGACACTTTTTCAGATTCAAGCAGAGCATATCCTGAAGCTACAATAGTTAGCTGAAAAATGTTATGGCAACAAATGCATTATTCCATATAATGATCAGTGGCAGAACAGCGGAATCTACAAGGAGTTCTTCACCAAGCACAAGTACTTTGGTTTAAAAAGAAAAGAAAATATAATCCTTTTTTCAGCAAGGAATGCTCCCTGCCATGAGTTTTGATGGGCAAATTATTTTGGAAGAGAAGAACAAAGTTTCTATTGCTCCACATGAGAATGGTGGTCTTTATTGGGCTCTTGCAGCCTGGCATATTGTGGAGGATATGGTGCAAAGAGGCATTTGGAGCATTCATGTCTATTGTGTTGACAACATATTAGTAAAAGTGGCAGGCCCACGGTTCATTGGATTTTGCATTCAGAAAGGAGCAGACTGTGGAGCAAAGGTGGTAGAGAAAACAAACCCTGCAGAACCAGTTGGAGTGGTTTGCCGAGTGGATGGAGTTTACCAGGTGGTAGAATATAGTGATGTTTCCCTGGCAACAACTCAAAAACAAAGCTCAAATGGATGATTGCCGTTCAATGTGGAGAATATTGCCAACCATTTATTCACCGTACCATTTCTGAGGATGTTGTCAATGTTTATGAACCTCAGTTGCAGCACCATGTGGCTCAAAAGAAGATTCCTTATGTGGATACCCAACAGCACTTAATTAAGCCAGATAAACCCAGTGGAATCAGTATGGAAAAATTTGTCTTTGACATCTAGTTTGCAAAGAAGTTTGTGGTTTATGAAATATTATGGGAAGATGACTTTTCCACACTAAAGAATGCTGACAGTCAGAATGGGAAAGACAATTTTACTACCGCAAGGCACACTTTCATTATTGCTGGGTTCTCAATGCAGGGGTCACTTTATAGATGAAAATGGCTCTCATCTTCCAGCAATTTCCCACTTAAAGGATTCCAATGATGTACCAGTCCAGTGTGAAATTTCTCCTCTTATCTCTAATGCTGAGGAAGGAATAGAAAGTTATGTACAGATGTAGAATTCCATGCATCTTTAATCATCGATGAGAATGGAGTTCATGAGCTGGTGAAAAATGGAATATGAACCTGATTCCAAGTTCTACCACAATAGGAATAGCTTTTATTTTTGATAGACCAACTGTGAACCTATAGGACCTCCTGGATGACTGAAGTTTAAATATCCACAGGGTTTTATTTTGCTTGTTGAACTCTTATAGCTACTGCAAACTTCCTAAGATCTAGATGACTGAACTTCAGATAGCATTTTTATAATTCTCAACTCATTGAAGGTCTTATTTATATTTTTCAATTGTGTATTTTTTTCCAAGGCAAGGAAACCATTGGCAATCCAAGAAATTTCCTACAGCTGAACTATAGTCAGGATGTTCAACATCACTTTACTTGGAGCTGGAGGCATTTGTTTTTGAAGTTGTGCATAGTAATAATATGTCATTGTAGATGTTGAAAGGTTTCTATGATACCAAAAGTTTATTTTATCAAACATTAAACTTTTTAAATGAAATAATTGGACAGTAAAATAAACTTATCTTCCTGTCTGTGGAAAACAATAAAAATTTGCTTCTTCCTCTCAGAGTTTTCACTTATGCATATTATTGAGCAGTTGATTTTTTATGAATAGACTGAAGAAAAAAAAATCACTATTATAGATAGATAAGTAAATTTTCAGTCTTTTTCATCTTGGATGGCAAACAAAATCAAATATTTGGAGGCAAGAATTATTGAGCAAAGCGTTTTCTATCTCTGTGCACAATTGAAATGACATTATTCAAGGTCACTGCATCTGAACACATCCTCATTCATGCATTATTCAAGAAGAAAAATGGTCTTTGACGGGCAGGGGCAGGAATAGTGGGAAGTTATGAGAGTGCTGGACATGGAGAAGGTACAAAGTAAATCATTGTCTGCTATTCACTATGTAGAATTGCATTGTTTTTTATTGCCTTCTGTATATTTTGTTCAGTCAAAAATAATTTTTAGTGATAAGAAGTAGGTGCTTTGCGAGGCATTGGGGAAAAAAATGAAAAACACATCCTCTGTTCTTGAGGAGTTCACAATCTAGAAATGAAGTCAAAAGAGTAAGTAAATACCTGTAATAAACTCTAAAAAACATGTAAAATGAGAAAATATCCTGATTAGCATGAGAGCTTAAAATATGACTATTTCTTTTGATGAAAAACTGTTTTATTAAGGAGAAAAGACCATGGCCTTACTCTTATGTTTTAGTGTGTACTGAGTTATCAATTCATGATTTCAGATTCTATTCAGAACTTGTAATAGTTGGCTCTTTGTTCCTACTTGCCACACATTCTGTGGTGTTTTCATGTTAGAATAGGATGGCAGATATATCTATGTTCAAAAGTAAATACAGTATTTGAACTTATTCTATTACAGGTAACCACATGGTGGATATTGGGGATATTATATTTATTTTGAATGAGCTACAGGAACAGTATGAGGATGTTCGTAAGTGACCTCGTGTTGCTATGATAAGTTTTGTTTATAATTAAAGTCTTTACATTAAATCTTAATTTATAAGTTTTATTTTATAAAGGATTTTGAAAACCTCTGAATAATTTACCCTCTTAAATCAGGGAGATAAAATATAATACTCAAAATGCTATTTACATGTCTTCTTTTTAGAAATGTCTATGCACGTTCTTTGCCCAGTTATCAATTAATTAATTAATTAATTATTTTGAGATGGAGTTTTGCACTTGTTGCCCAGGCTGGAGTGCAGTGGCGCGATCTTGGCTCACTGCAACCTTTGCCTCCTGGGCTCAAGTGATTCTCCTGCCTCAGCCTCTGAAGTAACTGGGGTTACAGGCATATGCCACCATGCCCAGCTAGTTTTGTATTTTTAGTAGAGAGAGGGTTTCACCATGTTGGTCAGGCTGGTCTTGAACTCCTGACATCAGGTGATCCACCTGCCTCAGCCTCCCAAAGTGCTGAGATTATAGGCGTGAGCCACCACGTCTGGCTCTTTGCCCAGTTTTTAAAGGTTTTTTTTTTTTTTTCCCCACTGTTGAGTTGTTTGAATTCCTTATAAATTCTGGATATTAATCCCTTCTCAGATGAATAGTTTGCAAATATTTTCTCCCATTCAAGAGGTTGTCTCTTCATTCTGTTATTTCTTTTGCTGTGCGAAGCTTTTTGGTTTAATATAGTCTCATTCGTCTATTTTTGTTTTTGTGGCTGGTGCTTTTGAGATCTTAGTCATAAAATCTTTGCCTAGACCAATGTCCTGTAGACTTCTCCCTATGTTATCATCAAACAGTTTTTTAGTTTCAGGTCTTATGTTTAAGTTTTTAATCCAGCTTGAGTTGTTTTTTGTATATGATGACAGATAGGGGTTTAGTTTCATTCTTCTGCATATGGTTATCCACTTTTCCCAGCACCATTTATTGAAGAGGGTATCCTTTCCTCAGTGTACATTCTTGACTGCTTTGTTGGCTTTGTTGCTCTGTTGGGCATAAACCAACAGTTGATCAGTTGGGTGTAAATATGTGACTTTATTTCTGGGTCCTTTATTCTGTTCCATTGGTCTCTGTGTCCATTTTTTTTTGAGATGGAGTCATGCTGTGTCACCTAGGCTGCAGAGCAGTGGTGTGATCTCAGCTCACTGCAACCTCTGCCTCCTGGGTTCAAGCGATTCTCCTGCTTCAGTCTCTTGAGTAGCTGGGATTACAGGCATGCATGGCCATGCCTGGCTAATTTTTGTATTTTTAGTAGAGACGGGGTTTCAACATATTGGCCGGCTGGTCTTGAACTTCTGACCTCAGGTGATCCACCTGCCTCGGCCTCCCAAAGTGCTGGGATTATAGGTGTGAACCACTGTGCCCGGCTTTTTTTTTTTTTTTTTTTTTTGATTTAGATTAATTTTATTGACAAGATTTATAAGAACAAATTAAATATTTAAAATCAAAGGCCAATTATTAGGTCTCATTTAGTTGCTTATTTTGTTCACTTCTATTTACCTTTCCCTAGTGTCTAAGTAACTATCAAACAAGTCAAACCTGTGAAAATACCTGTTAACATTCAACATATATATTTCTGTTCTATGATGCAAAGATATTTTTCAACACTTAATTGGTACATCAAATGTGTCATTCTGTCATAAGCAGCATGTTTTAAAATTCAGATTTAATAAACTGATTTAAGACAGTAAATTGAAAGACAAAATTAGTCTCATTCAGGAGTGGTCCATTATGTTGATCATCTAGAATCAACACTGATTAGCCAAACTTTAAAAGCCAGAGCCCCAACTCCAGAGAAACATTAAATTTCTTTAATGTAAAAGTATATTATTTTTGAGACACACTCTGTCAGAGATATCCACGATTACTTGCACATTATATTCTGGCATTATAATCTGGTACTTTAATCGTAATCATGAAGGTGGCTAGGTTTCCGGTAAATATCAGCATTTTATATGGGCAAAAGCAGTTAATAAAAATTGGTTCATTTACTATAAGCCAAGTGTGCTTGTACTTAATCCCACCCTTTCCCAAAGTTTTTGAAGCTTTGATATGTTGATTTTTGGTCTGTCCTTAATATAAAACGTACCTACAGACACTTTTACAGAGTTAATACTAAAATTACAAATTGATGACACTTTCAAGCAAAGCAGGATAACTGTTCCTTCAGTGTTTCATCACTGAATTGACTTTCCCTGCTCCATCATACTGTCTGGCTGAACACTGACATTCCATAGTCTACAACTGTAAAGATACCTACCTATGTGAGTTTAAAAAGTGGTCTGCACAAAAGAAATAAAAAAACTTTATATACAACAAATTGTTTTTTAAAAATACAAAAATAACACCTATCACTTTTGTCATGCTAACAATCTGACATATATACACATGCAGGAGAAAAGTTCCAATTCAGTCATCTGGACAACTGTAGCTTGTATATTTTTAATATGATGGACACACTGCCACTGAATTTTCACACTGACAGAGATGTGTATTCAAAATATTTCATATACTAAATACTGCAATCTCTGTGTGTATAAATCCCAGTCATAATAGTTTTTGTTCTACTTGATTAAAAGTGTGCCTTAAGCAAGCTAATATTAAGTGCACTAAAAACCACGACAGTTCAAGAATCTATGACCTTATATAAAGAAACCCAAAATGTACAAAATACAACTATAAAAGCAAGATTAATTAATGCCATGCAAGATTTTAACTAAAAATGTCATAGAAATGCAATTTAAAATAGCAAACTCAAATTCACATAACACTCAAGATAATGAGGTCAGCAGTAAGTTCTATCGTTGCTTAAAAAGGATTTAGAAAAGGAATTACATTCTCTTTGCTGGTGTAATGGTATAAATCAGATCTTCGAATCTATGGGAACAAGTCATCTTCTCTGTCCTCTATCTCAAGAAATTAGCTCTTTTACATTAGCTGTTTTTATGAAATCTTTTCTTTCAGTTAAATCATAAGTAGGATAATTTTCATAGACCTTTTTGCAAATCTGTTTCATTGTGACTTCTTCCAAGTTAGCACTGGCCAGTAATTTATTGTTTCCTTTAATTCTTCATCTGTAGGGGGTTTCTTCAACTTTTTAATTAAAGGTTCATCATCTGAACTGTCCTCAGACTCACTTTCTTTTTTGGAACTGTTTTGATTCTTCTTGGTGGTGCTGCCATCTGCTTTCTTAACATTGGCACTTTTCACAGATTTTTTACTTTTAGAAGTAGCTTTCTGTTTAGGTTTTCCTCTTTTGGCTGTCTTTTTTTGGTGGCTCCTCTTCACTTTCTTTATCTTCATCATCTGAAGACTCTTACTTGTTTTTCTTTTCATCTTCATCACTACCAGATACATCTGACAGAATTTCAGGATGTTTGGTTCGCTTAGCCTTTCTTGCCATTCCAGAACTGTTCCGTTCCTTTTTACTGCCTTTGCTAGAAGTTTTTTTAGATTTTGGCAATGGTTTGCCAGAAGGCTTTGGATGCATTAAGAAATTCAAGATCCTCTTCACTAGTTCACT